CAGGAGATTCTGGAGTTCATCAGTGATAACAAGTGAGTGACCCTCGGGGCTGTGCCCAGCAGGGGAGGCTTGGAATGGAGATTGGGGAATTTGGGGATTTGAAAATTGGGAATTTGAAAATTGGGAATTTGGGAATTTGAAAATTAGCAGTTTGGGAATTTGAAAATTGGGAATTTGGGAATTTTGGAATTTGAAAATCAGCAATTTGAGCTGCCAGGGGAGCAGAGTGAGGATGTTCTCCTGTGCATTCCCAATGGAGATTTGGGAATTTTGGGAATTTAAAGATTGGGAATTTGGGAATTTGAAAATTTGGGAATTTGAAAATCAGCAATTTGAGCTCTCAAGGGAGCAGGGTGGGGATGTTTTCCTGAGCATTCCCAATGGAGATTTGGGAATTTGGGAATTTTGGAATTTGAAAATCAGCAATTTGAGCTCTCAGGAGAGCAGGGTGAGGATATTCTCCTGTGCATTCCCAATGGAGATTTGGGAATTTGGGGATTTGGGAATTTGGGAATTTGAAAATTGGGAATTTTGGAATTTGAAAATCAGCAATTTGGGAATTTGAAAATTGGGAATTTTGGGAATTTGAAAATCAGCAATTTGGGCTCTCAGGGGAGCAGGGTGGGGATGTTCTCCTGTGCATTCCCAATGGAAATTTGGGAATTTGGGGATTTGGAAATCAGCAGTTTGGGCTCTCAGGGGAGCAGGGTGAGGATGTTCTCCTGTGCATTCCCAATGGAGATTTGGAAATTGGGGAATTTGAAAATTGGGAATTTTGGGAATTTGGGAATTTGGGGATTTGAAAATCAGCAGTTTGGGCTGCCAGGGGAGCGGGGTGGGGATGTTCTGCTGTGCATTCCCAAGGGAGATTTGGGAATTTTGGAATTTGGGAATTTGGGAATTTGAATATTAGCGATTTGGGCTGCCAGGGGAGCAGGGTGGAGATGTTCTGCTGTGCACCCTGGCGTGGCAGGGGTGGCACTGACTGGCCCCTGTCCCTGTGCCCAGCAATCAGTTCAAGAAGTTCCCCCAGATGACCTCGTACCACCGCATGCTGCTGCACCGCGTGGCCGCCTACTTCGGC